GGCAGTCATATAAACTATTTGTGTAACAATCTGGGAAAATTATATACAAATAGATTGTAAATGAATACATGTTGGAAAAATTCTTGAAATGGGTATTATGAGTCTTAATAGCAATTTTTATTACATATGAGGACCTGATTTTTTAGTAAACCATAGGATACTAGAGAAAGAAAATACTTTCCATGCAAAAACTTGAATTATACGCAGCCATTTAGTTACACATTCATAGCAAACATAAAAGGGCTATATTCTAAATGTGCACAGATTTGTTTGCTTCTATTAATTGAGTCAACGTGTAAAATTTAGAAGACTTATGCAGAAATCTGGACTCCAGACTTGTCCTAAAAAATCAAGTATGGTGTCCTCTGGGTTTCTACAACTGTTGGCCTGCTGCGCAGAGGTAGCGCCTTTATAAAAGGCGTCTATTCTCCAGTTTGCTAGTGTGCCCATGTCAGTTCTTTCCTTACTCAGATCACCTTCCTTTGTCCTTTTAAGTATTTGAGTTTACAACTCTTATGTTGTAGTTTATTTTGATAAAGATTTCAAGGCTTTTAAGTCAGTGTGTATTTGTTTATAATATATAGTCTATAGATTATATAAATCCTTCAGTTATGGGGTTGGATTTTAGATTTTAGTTTAAAACTCTTTTTATCTATACCACAAATAATCACCTTCCAATACGAATGCCCAGAAGTTTTTTTTTCGGTTATTCCTGGTTGTGTTGGATAGTTTATGAATATTGCAGACATTTTTCTCCTCAGCAATCTTCCTTAGAAATGCAAGTGACTTACTTTCATTACGCTAGAAATAACCCATAGGGATCAGTACGAGAACTTTCATTGATAAGCCGTTGTATTTGTACTTGCTTTATATTTAGCCTGAAATAAAAAATAATTTTAAGTAGCCATTTAAATGGAAACCAATACAAATGGATTTAAAAAGTAGAGTTGCATTAGGGTCCCAGCATTACCATTACAATTGAGAATAGAATTTCTTGCTGAGCTTTGGGTTTGTTTTTTTTTTAATATTTATTTTTAAATTTTTAAACCTCTCTCTCTCTTACACAGAGCATAGTGAGCTTTATAGCAATTAAGATAAAAAATCTGTTCCCTTGTATTAAAAGAAACCCACAGACTGTTTAATAATATGGAAAATATGTACATTTGAAGCCAATCACTCTTAAGTCAGAGCTCATTTCCTTAGTGGCCTGTTTGGAGCAGGAGTGCCTGACATTGGCATCTGGGAGCCTAACATCATTGATAGAAGTGAGTCAAGCAAGTTTGTACCACGCAGAGGGAACCTCCAGCTGTATCGGGAAGCTCTGGAAACTGTATCTCTGAAACTCTTTTTTTTTTTTTTTTTTTTTTTTTTCTTTTTGAGACGGAGGACAGAGTTTCGCTCTTGTTACCCAGGCTGGAGTGCAATGGTGCGATCTCGGCTCACCGCAACCTCCGCCTCCTGGGTTCAGGCAATTCTCCTGCCTCAGCCTCCTGAGTAGCTGGGATTACAGGCACGCGCCTCCATGCCCAGCTAATTTTTGTATTTTTAGTAGAGACGGGGTTTCACCATGCTGACCAGGATGGTCTCGATCTCCTGACCTCTTGATCCACCCGCCTCGGCCTCCCGAAGTGCTGGGATTACAGGCTTGAGCCACCACGCCCGGCTCTCTGAAACTCTTAATTCCTTAAATGTTAATATTTGCCACAAAAACTATTGTCAGATGTGTATTAGGTACAGTTCCAGAGATTTCTTGATTGTCGGTTATAAAATACAGTTTTGTTATACTTCTCATATGCAGATTGTCATGGAGTCTTTCTCTTGGGGTACAACAAGCAAATATTCTTTGGAATGTAGTTTAAGAAACACTGCTCTAGAGATAATAATTTAGATCATTAATTTCTGTAAAAAAATTTGCTACAATGTTTTAGGTTTTTGGGGGCTGTAGAGATAAGAGATACAGGCCTGACCCTCAAGAAGCTCTTGTTTCAGTGGGAAACAATCAAGTGATTACAATATAACATGCTAAGTGCTGTGATCAAAGCAAGGATTCTTGGGACTGGTTTGTGTGAAGGCAATTCTGGCGATGACCACAGTTAATGTGGGGAGGCAGAGGAGGGGTGTTTGCAAGGCAGGGAGCAGCACGTCAGAAAGCACAGAGGAGTGAGAAGGAAGGGCCTGGTTTTCATTTACTTCCTTTCTATATTGTATGTTGAAGTTGAAACATCTTAGAGAAGATTTTTAGTTCATTTGAGGAATATGTAATTTTGTGAATTTGTTGTTGTTGTTGTTGCTGTTTTATGGGACGGAAACACACCACTTTTATTTGCTGTAATTTGCAAGAGACAGCAAATCGTGGAATTTTTAGTGAAAAACCAAGTGAATGTACGTGCTGTTGATAGGCTGAGAGAGTACAGTAGTTCTTGTTTAAAATAAAAACCTGAGTGTTGTAGAGTGGAGTCACTCAAATCAGAAACATTAATAAGATTAACATAATTATTGGCATATAGTGAGAAATATCAACACAAATAATCAGGTAGAAAAGCAAATATTTGGACTAAGCAACATCAAGAACATAGGGTAGGATTCGTTTTCTCTTACAGAGTGTTTGTTATTTGAAATCTGATGTTTTTGGTCTTGTAATCTTACATTAGCTAAAGATTTTTGTATTTGGTTTTTTTTTTTTGAGACGGAGTTTCGCTCTTGTTACCCAGGCTGGAGTGCAATGGCGCGATCTCGGCTCACCGCAACCTCCGCCTCCCGGGTTCAGGCAATTCTCCTGCCTCAGCCTCCTGAGTAGCTGGGATTACAGGCACGCGCCACCATGCCCAGCTAATTTTTTGTATTTTTATTAGAGACGGGGTTTCACCATGTTGACCAGGATGGTCTCGATCTCTCAACCTCATGATCCACCCGCCTTGGCCTCCCAAAGTGCTGGGATTACAGGCTTGAGCCACCGTGCCCGGCCTGTATTTGTTTTATTAATTTTTGAAATGTGGACTTTTAGTTTATGACTACTAGTATTGCCGTTATTATTATTATTATTATTATTATTATTATTATTATTATTTTTCAGGCTGTAGATAGCTCTTATGTGACCCCTAGCTGATGTGAATGACAACATATCAGACTAGGAAAGCAATGGGGAATCTTCATGTAAATCTTTGCCTACTTTAGATAAGTGACCTCAGCCCAGTTTCTTGGCCGTCAGGGGACTACAGGTTAGCAGCTTGTATTGTGTCATACCCCAGTGCAACAAGAGCCTTCCATGTTGTCCCTTTTCTTTTAGCCTTGGTGATAATTTACAAAGATGAACACTGAGCACCCAAGATGCTTACAGACACAAGCTGGTACATGTAAACGGTTATTATGTCTACATTGACAGGCAGGATATGAAATTGATAAAGCGTATCAAACTAGCTGCTTACTAGTGACTTTATTAAAGTTCTTGAATGGAGTTGTTTGTTATTTTAGAGCAGCCCTCATGCTTCCTGTAGATTTTGGCTCATCAGGTATTGTCAGTGTTTTTCTTCAGCAAGATATTAATGTCTTTACTCAAGATGTGTGTGTATGAGATGCAGAGGATTATGCTGTTTATCATGGTTTGACAAGGTGTTTGCATTAAATAATACAATCTGTTAATACTAAATTGATGTTTAAAATAATTGCAACCATTGAATCTTACACATTAGGTGAGAGTTCATAGTTTGGTTCAGGTCGTTTGAAATAGCAAGAGTTAGTCCACTTTTTAGCTAGAAATCAAGCAGAAGGCTGGATTAGTTAGAAGTAGAATGCAGGATTCTTTCAGGGCTTTTAAGACCTTTATCCCTAGGGATCTCAGTGTGGTTCATGTTATTCTAAGTATAATCCTCATGCATCAGATAAAAATAGAGACACATCTTTGACTTCTTTTTTCTTCCTTTTGTTTTTTTGTTTGTTTGTTTTTTAAGAGGCCAGGTCTCACTATGTTGCGTAGGCCGGTCTTGAACTCCTGAGCATAAGTGATCCTCCTGCCTCGGCCTGTCAAAGTGCCGTCCGCCATGCCTGGCCTGACTTTCCAATGAGTTACTGGGTCTTGAAAAGTTCAATTTAGCAGAAAATCTTGTACTGTCCCCTGGGGCTGTCTTCTGTATCTTCCTCTTTGAATTTTCCAGGAAACTAAGGTGTTTCCAAGTCCGGGGAAGGCAATCTTTCTTTACGAGTCAGAAGGAGGAACGGAGGCCATTCTAATTATTCTGTTGTTTCCACGGATTCACTTGCTGTATCGATGCCATTGTAACTGGTCCTGCAATCTGATAATGATTGACCTTTGCCACCAGGATGCATTCACTGATTCAGACCCCTCAGTTTTCATGGTGATTCATACATGGAGTTCAAAGCTACAGTGTTTATTAAATTATGTACATATGCTCAGCCATTGCTCCCAGCACCCTGCTCTGGGAGCCAGGCCTCCTAGCTTTACCCACACAAATAGTGAGCAGATTGATGCTTCCCCTACACTAAAAACTTTATTTGGAGCCCACATCTTAGCTAGACTTAGCCTAGACCTTCATGGTAAGTTATCCTTTGAGAGCCCTGTTGGTCTTTTCTCTGACAAATATTAGTTGAGATTGTTCCCACGAATATTTGAATTATTTGAATGTTCAAATAATGCTGTGGGAAGAGATGGGAGTTCCCCTTTCCCTTTTGCTATCAGATTTTATCCTGAGGCTTTTTTATATCCTGTGCAGCAGCTTTGGTTAGAGAGCAGAAGGTTCCATGTTACCTGTCCGCAAAGCAGTGGGAAGCGACTTGCAGTTGGCCCCTCAGGTAATCTCTTTCTACAAGAATGAAAGTCTCCCAGGCTATTTGCGTATCTTCCTCAAGTTTTAAGTATATTTTAAAGTTGCACCTCACGGGACGCCATTCAGTAAAATTCTCTGAATCTCAGGTAGGTGAGTTGGATTGAACAGAGCTAAGCTTCATCTATGACTCATGAGTATCCCTGTATAAAACAGGGTTTTGTACTCGCTTCAGCAGCACATACTTTAAAACTGGATCAGTAGCAGATAAGCATCAGCATGGCTGCTGCCTAAGGATGACACACAGATTCATAAAGCATTGCATATTGTGCATTGCCCCTGGGAGGTCATTTGACTATTTCTTGACCAGCTCCAAGGAAGCAGTGTGAGTCAAACCAAAACAGGAGATACCCGATATTAAAATTGTGATTTTCACTATAAAACTATTGCTGTACGGTGATGTATGAAAGGAGAACAGAGCTGAGTAACATACGGGGTGTTACATGCAAATATGTTATTAGTACATGTCTTGGAAATGGGAAAATGTCAACTTGCATTTCCTTCAGAAACCTGAAAAACAGTAAAAGCAGGGGTTTTTCTTCTCTGTTAGTTGCAGCGGACCATGGAGATCCAGCATCCTGGCACAGATGTGCCAGCTCAGAGTTTGAGGAGGTAGAGAAGGAGTGGTGTTTGTCCAAGCCAGGTTTTGACATCTGTTAATTTCCTGCTCTTTTGTAATTGATGAGCTCAGTAATAGGGACAATTATGTTGTCTATTTTAATGAGATAATAAAATATTTACATGTAAATTTAGTTATAAGTTATGAATTAGCTAAAATGCCCAGAATTACAAGCCACAATAAATACAACTAATAAATTAAAGTTCTAGTATTAGCGCTGATATTGCCTGAAATGGTTTAAGAATTTAATAGGTTTGGTAACTATTTTTTATTTCAGTATTAAAATAGCAATTTTATTTATTACTTTTTTATACATAGAATTTGACACCAAATTTTGGAACATAAAAAGTAGATACTTCAATGCAAGTAAGACTGCTGATAGTAAATTTCTCATTTATTTTGTTGGTCCTACTCTTGATAAAAGAAAGTAAGATGTAAGATTAAGGTAGTTTTAATGGAAAAAGACCAGTTTAAAAATGTGTAAACTGCAAATATATATATTTGTAAATTAATTTCCAAAATTTAACTTTTTTAGTTCGCAATTCAGTTATTTAAGAAGGTAGTTGTATCTAATTTGTAATCTGAAACAGTATCATCTGAAAAAAATCATTTACTTAATTACAATTCCTAAAATTCTATATAATATATTTTGCATAAATAAGAAAAAAGATTGTTGTTAGTATGCTGTATGTTTTCTCTATAGTCACATTATAACAAATTGAACTTGTTATACTTATGGATCTTCCATTTCATTTTTATAATAAATTGTTTGCATTTAGTAAGTAAATATAGTTGACCCATGAATAATGTGGGGGTTAGGGACTCTAATCCCTGTGCAGCTGAAAATGTGAGTATAACTTTTAATTTCCCCATCTTTGCTACTAATAACCCACCATTGACTGGGAGCCTTCCTGATAACAGAAACAGTCCATTAAAACCCATTTCATTTGTGCTGCATTGTTATATACTGTGTTCTTACAACAAAGTAAGCTAGGGCAACGAAACTGTTAGAAAAATCATCAGAAAAAACGTTGACTTCTTATAAAACATAAGAGGATCCTCACAAATCCTTCATCTTCATTATCTTCGGGTTGATTAGGCTGAGGAAGAAGAGGAGGGGTGGATCTTGCTGTCTGCGGCGTTCAGAGGCAGAAGAAAATCTGCATATAAGTAAATCCCTACAGTTGGAACCCTTGCTGTTCAAGGGTGAACTGTATTATGTATTAATATGTGTCACTAAGAAAGTAACTACCTTTAGAACTGGGAACTCACCAATCCGTTTCTCGTACCATAAGTAAATGGCAATAAGAACTGTAAAACTGAACCAGCGTGCACCCATACAAATTGGGGATTATGTTTTGGAGATATCTACTGAGTGCAGAAGACAGAAAAACAATTCCTTTGTGAGAAGTACAAGTTATGTTACATATTCTTACATAAGCAGAATGGTTTTATCTGTCATAGTTTACACACACACACACACACATACACATGCACATGCATATACACCTGCACCTATACATACACATATACACACACATGCACGTATACACACACGTGCACACATACACATGCACACATACACGTGCACATATACACATGCACATATACACTTGTGCACATATACACACGTACACATGCACACATGCACATATACCCACATGCATACACACGTGCATGTGCACATGTGCACATGTACACACGCACATATACACATACACATGCACATACACACACGTGCACATATACACACATACACATGCACACACACGGACATACACACGCACATATACACACACATATACACACTTGCACATAGGCACACACACACGTGCTCTTACACTTGCCTGTGTACACACTGATAATTAAGTCCTGCTGATTCTTTATGATCAAATCCACTATTTGTGGGGAGAGCGGATAACACGTCCTGCACTTTGGATGCAGTTCTTTGGACGTTTTGACTTGTTCTGTGATGAACTGCCTTTAATGGGTGAACCATGTTTCTAGTATTATAAGAAATAAAAAGATTACAAGCAAGTGAAAGGAACTGTATGATCAGTAGTAGGCTGGTATACTTTACTCAGTGTTCATGTGTTTTTCTCCAGGTATCCAGGTGACTTGAATGATGAGTCCTCCAGTTACACAAGTTACTTAAATTAATAATAATTATTACTACAAGAAATGGGGTCTCTATGTTGCCTAGGCTAGAATACAGTGTCTGTTCAGTGGTACAATTACAGCTTACTGTAACCTCGAACTTCTGGGTTTAATCAGTCCTCCTACCTCATCCTCCTGAGTAGCTGGGACCATAGTTATGTGTGGTTACATCTAGCTGGATACACAATTATTTATTGTTTGATTTATCTGTTTATTTTCGAAACAGTGTCTCCTTCTGTTGCCAGTACTTGAGTGTAGTGGTGCAGTCTTGGCTCCCTGCAACTTCTGCTTCCTGGCCTTAAATGATCCTTTCCTCAGCCTCCCAAATAGCTGGGACTGCAGGCATACACCACCGTGCTTAGCTATTTTTCTTTTTAAGGTATCTATGTATGTACATTTGTATGTCTGTATGTATTTTTTAGATGAGGTCTCACTATATTGTCCAGGCTGATCTGGAACTTCTGAGCTCAAGTAATCCTTCGGCATCAGCCTCCCAAAAATGCTAGGATTTTACAGGTGTGAGCTACTGCACGTGGCCTGCACAATTGTTATTAAAAGAAATTAAGCTCCACTTGAGTTGGAGAAGTTTGACTATCTTTTCATTTTTTTTTTTTTTAAGAAACATTTGTATTGTAGAACATACTGTCAATCATCAAGATTCTCTATTTTGTACTCTGGTTAAACTAGGATTGCTGCTTCACATTATTTTCTGAAATAATTGTTTCATTTATTCCTTTTATGGCTTTATTCAGTTAGATACAGAAATACAAGAATCTCTGTCAAATATCAAGGAGAAAAGAATAAACAGATTAGGGAAAGTTATTCTGTGAAGTTACCATCTGATGACAGTCACATATATCAACTTAGTAAAAATCTTCTATGATGCATTTGGGTCAAGGGTTTCCCAAGACCACTCCCAGGTTTGGTGATTCACTAGAATGTCTCACAGGACTCAGAAAATAGTCATACTCAGATCTTTAATTTACTACAATGAAAGGGTACAGGCAAAATTAGAGGGAAAAGGTGCATTTGGTCCAGTCTGGAGGAAACCGTGACAAGCTTCCAGGAGTCTCTCCTGTGGAGTTCCCAGGATCTGCTTAATTCTTCCAGCCTCACATTTTGGCAACACATGTGCAGTGAGGTCTACCAGTACCAGCATCTCATTAGAGACTCAGTACCGAGTTTTAAATGGAGGTTGCTCTCCCTCACATGTACTCAAATTCCAGACTCCAGAAGGAAAGCATCTGTTCAGAGGAAGCACGTTGTTTCTGTAAACGCTTTAGACACAGTGAGCCATTCTTCTCAGGGAATGGTGGGAACTCTCTCAATCTCTAAACACCTGCCAAGGGGCCAGCCTTGCATGTGGGCCTTTCTAAGCATGTCAGTCCTTTGCCTGCTATATGAAATCTTTTCTGCACAAAAGTTTTAACCCCAACTTAACTTTTGGTGTTGTTTTAAAATGTCATTTTAACAGCAAATAAGAAAAGGTAACTTGGTACTAGTTTCTGTTGTATGATCCATCCTTGGTTGCGATGCTGATTACTTTTTTGAGTTTTGGTGACTAACGCGTATTTATTTATTTTATTGCATTTTAGGTTTTGGGGTACATGTGAAGAACATACAAGATTGTTGCATAGGTACACACGTGGCAGTGTGGTTTGCTGCCTTCTTCCCCATCACCTCTATCTTGCATTTCTCCCCATGCTATCTCTCCTCAACTCCCTACCCCTCGCTATCCCTCCCCTATTTCCCCCCGACAGACCCCAGTGTGTAGTGCTCCCCTCCCTGTGTCCATGTGTTCTCATTGTTCAACACCCGCCTATGAATGAGAACATGTGGTGTTTGATTTTCTGCTCTTGTGTCAGTTTGGTGAGAATGATGGTTTCCAGGTTCATCCATGTCCCTACAAAGGACATGAACTCATTGTTTTTGATGGCTGCATAATATTCCATGGTGTATATGTGCCATATTTTCCTTGTCCAGTCTATCATTGATGGGCATTTGGGTTGGTTCCAGGTCTTTGCTATTGTAAACAGTGCTGCAATGAACATTCGTGTGCATGTGTCTTTATAGTAGAACGATGTATAATCCTTTGGATATATACTCAGTAATGGGATTGCTGGGTCAAATGGGATTTCTATTTTTAGGTCATTGAGGAATTGCCACACTGCCTTCCACAATGGTTGAACGAATTTACACTCCCACCAACAGTGTAAGAGTGTTCCTATTTCTCCACATCCTCTCCAGCATCTGTCGTCTCCAGATTTTTTAACAGTCGCCATTCTAACTGGTGTGAGATGGTATCTCAATGTAGTTTTGATTTACATTTCTCTAATGACCAGTGATGATGAGCACTTTTTTCATGTTTGTTGGCCTCATGTATGTCTTCTTTTGTAAAGTGTCTGTTCGTATCCTTTGCCCACTTTTGAATGGGCTTGTTTGTTTATTTCTTGTAAATCTGTTTTAGTTCTTTGTAAATTCTGGATATCAGCCCT